ATTCTGGGAGTTGAAGTCCACTCATCTTAAAGTGGCCAAGTTTGGACAACACTGTCTTAATCATACTTGGAGTAGGCCTACAGAAATCTGTGAGATTTAAAAACATCTTGACTTACTAAATCCCACTCAAACCCATAGTTTACTCAACAGAGCTCCTTAAGTATGTTTTGGACATCTCAGTAAACCATGATGTTCTGACTATGATTTAATGAAACTACACTGCTGGGTTAACACAACGTACTAAGGTAGAACCACCATATCTGGGCTGCAAAAATCAGGTTAACAACAAGATGGCAGCAAAGTGGTCCAGAAAACTAACTCTTGGCTGTTGTTTAGTGGTCATTTGGAGTTTTTCAGTACAGACATGGGTGCCATAGCTAAGCAAGAACCAGACACAACACCTTAAGGGGTTAACCAGACCTAACCCTCCACTGAACCTGACATTTCTTACTTTGTCCCCCAGATGGTTCACCAGAGGCTCAAAAAGGCTTCCTGAAGATCTTCCCCATTTCTGAACAATTCCCAAAGCCATTCTTGAACAGATGGTTACTTCTCCCTGCCCTGCCTCTTTAAAAACAATTCAGCATGCAACTCTGCAAACCCAAAGGTTTTCTTGAGTGGAAAATCAAAAGGAAGAAAAGAAGCGCTTGACTGCTCTATTGAGAAGTGTCAATATACTGTCACCACACAGCGTGCCTGATATCTTAGGAAATCAGCTTGAAGTACTGTAGCTTTCCTACAAGCTGGGCATTTCCAAACAGGTCCAATTCTGCCTTATGGAACTTTCCAATGATAAGATTGGCTGTTAATCAGCACGTTGGTGAGGGAAGGTGTGGGCGAAGGGTTCCAAAGAGTTACAACTTGAGTATCTGCCAATTACAGCAGGTAGAAGGGAGAGCCGCGGAAGCGAAGAAGCAAGGTGGAAAGGAAGAGAAAGGGAAGTTCCAACCCCCCGGGAAGGCGGAAGAGCAGAACCGATTTCACTTCACCTGCCTTAGGGCACCCAAGATCTGAGCTAGGAAGATCCGGACGAGCACGCGACGGCAGCAGACCCAGAAATCTGGGTCTCCGCTGCATCGGGCGTCCGTCTGGATTTTCTGCAGCGCCCAGCCTCTCGTGCCAGCAGCCAGCGTCGCTGGACGGCACCGGAGCGGTCGAGGCTCGCTGCAGCTTTTGGCAACGGGCGAGCCAGCCTCCGGCCCCCCAGCCTCGTCCAGATGCGCGGGACACCAATGAGGGTCCGGGCGCGCCGGAGTCCGGCGAATCTGGAGGGTTCCCGCTCCAGCCGCTCACTTCTTCCTTCCCCCTCGTCTTGAGCGCTGCGCTCAGCCCCTCCTCCGATCCAAACCAGCGATCGCAATCCTTAATAACCGTGCCTGACCACGGTGACCGCGCAGCGAGGCTTCCACCCTGCCGGCACTTACCGGGGCCTCGCTCCCCGCGCCCTCCATCTGGGCCGGCTTGCGCGGAGCCTCGGCGCGCCTCCACCCTCGACGCCTCGGGGCTCTGGAGGGAGGGAGGGAGCGAGCGAGCGGGGGGCCGGAAGGGCCGATCGCGCGGGGGAGGGGGCGCCGACCGGCGGGGGGGCCGGTGCCGGTGCGCGGGGGGGGGAACGGAC